GCTAAAAAAGTGTTATGTGTTGGCAAAATTGGATAAAACTTCACAAACCCATTAAAAGCAAAAAACTTGAATGAAGCTGACTGGCTATTTTTACAGAATCAATCCAGATGAAACACATAGCAAATACGGTATGGAAGCAGCATCAATACAGCAACAATTCAAATTAAAGCGCCCTGCTTTTTGCTCATCGATAAATTCTTCAAAACAAAAAGAAACTTAAAAAATTAAGGATTTTAAAAAACCTCAATATACCAATGGTAAAGGTAGGTATGGGCTACCCTGCACTTCAACGATGGCTCTTAAAGGGAAAGAAGCAAAACTGAGATGCATAACAGAGGTATTGCTTACTTTAATACTTGAAAAGGCTACCAGTTCGCCACCGGTTCATATTCGGAACGCTCTCCAATGTCTTATGATATTCTGCCGATGCGAAGCCCCCAAAGCCGGAATCGATGCTGATTACACCATTGGACAGCATTCCGAATATGAATCAGTGATGAACTAGCAACCGCTTCAAGCAAGATACTACTAGGCCTGTATATTATCAATTCCAAAAGGTTAATAAAATCGCTTGGACTACAACTTTGCAGCTCAAATTATACAGTAGTAGCCAAGCTTTGTAGCCAAGATTTAATCAAAAACGCGTAAGATGTAGCCAAGTGAATACGCAAAATTTAGTCAATATGGGGTAAAGTTTGCCTAGAACAAGAAAAAAAGAAGCTATAAAAAAGCTCTCCCATTAGGGATTTAGTTAAAAAAGAATATAGTGTGAATCACGAAGATTAGTAATGAGATTTTCGAAGCTGAAAAATTTGAGATTTAGCTGGTCGAACGACTGCATTACCCAGTCTGATCGAAGTCGTGCAAGTCGACGTTCTGACAGAAATAGCGGTTTTCCACGTCTAAAAAAAATTGTCATCAGATTAATGCAATAAAAGCACTAATCTCGAAAAGCATGATGAATTTCTCGCACCATCTAGAAGGCAAAACTGCTTGGAGCAAACAGTATGAGTATTCCATTGTTGTTGCGTTAATTTTTGAAGTCGGAAATAGCTATGCCAGAACCTCTTCTATTAGAGGCGATAAATACTTA